AGCCTACGACCTGGGATACTACGATCGTCCATCATTTTCCACCATTCCTCAGCAATACGGAGAAGAGTCTTCCGCAGCCTCCATTTCCACGGACCGCACGACTTCCTTACAAACAACCGCCCCTACATCGCTGGGTTCGCAGGGCAGTGCGGGTGCTACCAACGGTGTATATTATGAAGACGCCAATGTTGGCCAGAAGCGGAAACGTGTAACAACACGCAAGTCAGCCCGCGATGAGCAGAAACGGCGGGAATTGGAAACTGCCGGCGATGCATTCCTCAGCTACATCCCCCCTCCCAAGCCACCGATCAAGGCGAAGGAAGTCCCAGTACCTGTCGTTCGAGATGTGAGTATTGACGGTTCTGTATCTCGATGCATTCTCTAACACTCTCTGCAGTATGGAAATCGCCATGAGAAGTTTGATGATGATGATGGTCACTACATTGTTACGCCAGATACTCCATTGACAGATCGATGTGAGTTTTCGTACCGGTTGGTTTGCCTTCCATGGCAACAGATGCTAATTTTTCAGACTCGATCATCAAGCTTCTAGGACAGGGTACATTCGGTAAAGTGGTTGAAGCGTATGACAAGCAGCGCAAGACTCGCTGCGCTGTCAAGATCATTCGGTCGATACAGAAGTATCGTGACGCGTCCAGGATTGAACTTCGGGTTCTGTCGACGTTGGCCTCGAATGATAAATCGAACCGAAACAAGTGCATTCACCTACGTGATTGCTTCGATTTCCGGAACCACATCTGCATTGTCACGGATCTTTTGGGCCAGAGTGTCTTTGATTTCCTCAAAGGCAACGGCTTTGTACCCTTTCCCAGTAGCCAGATTCAGAACTTCGCACGGCAGCTATTCACGAGCGTAGCCTGTGAGTCACCTTTCGGTTTTCCTGATCTCGGGCGATTTCATACTGACAATTCCAGTCCTGCATGATCTTAACCTCATCCATACCGATTTGAAACCTGAGAACATCCTCCTCGTCAGCAACGCATACCAGACATTCACCTACAACCGAACGATCCCATCCTCTTCGCACGCAGTTTCACGAAATGCCCGTCAGCGACGCGTGTTGTTGGACAGCGAAATCCGTCTCATCGATTTCGGGTCTGCCACTTTTGATGATGAGTATCACTCGTCGGTGGTATCCACGAGACATTACCGTGCTCCCGAAATTATCTTGAATCTGGGCTGGAGTTTCCCATGTGATATCTGGAGTATCGGCTGCATTCTGGTTGAGTTCTTCACCGGGGATGCCCTTTTCCAGACGCACGACAACCTAGAACATCTTGCCATGATGGAGGCAGTTATTGGCTCTAAAATCGATACGAAGCTCGTCAAGCAAACAACCCAAGGGGGTCGAAACGGAAGTCAGAACCAGGCAGCAAAGTACGTTCCGAACCCTTACGCTTCTGTGAGAACATCGATGCTAATTCAGCCCAGATACTTCAACCGAAACAAGCTCGATTATCCTAATGAGGAGACGACACGGGCGTCGCGCAAGTACGTGAGGGCTATGAAGCAGCTTACTGTAGGTCTATTTGCGACGATTCTTTTACACAACAGCCGTTAACGAACCACACAGGATTTCATCCCCACCAGCACTACATTCCATCGCTTGTTCCTTGACCTCCTTCAGCGGATATTTGTCTACGACCCCAAGAACCGTATTACTGCCAAAGAGGCTCTGAAGCACCCGTGGTTCAAGGAGTCTTTGATTGATGATGGCACCGAGGCTCTTCGCATTGGTCAACAGTTGCAACGCAACGGCGGTCAACGCAGCTAGCCGTCTCGATAACTTAATGTCGAAGAGGGGCAACATCGCTGGTACTCTCATCTCGGGCACGTCTGGATTTTAATTGTTGCAGCCATGACCGCTGTCTAAGGATACGCAACACTGAAAAACTGTTTCTTTTCTTGGATAGTGTTGATTGACGTGGCCAAGCTTGAGCAGATGTTGCGAAGTCAACGACGGCTACGTTACTTTGGCCCACGGGCATATTCTACGCACAATATCTTATGTGACACGGAGTTTGGTGCTTAACGCAAGGGCTATGGGATGCAATTTGGCGGACTTACAGTTACGTGGACAAGGGGCCATCTGTGATTCATGATTGTTTCGAACTTGAAAAAATCACCAGAAAAGAAAGAGCAAGGGAACTCCAACTCCAAAGCATACCCTGGAGTCAGCGACTACGGAGGACATATATGATTTTTTTCTATCTTATTTGATTCATTTTTAAGGGTTATATCCTGGATTTATGGGCTTGAGTGGATGGCTTTTTATTTTATCTTACTTTTTTTCCCCTTCTTCAATCATCCATTCAATCTTCCCCTTCTGAACAGCGGGGTGGTTTGTCCATCGCCCTACGCGCATTTTGTCTACTACTTTTCATTACTTCTGGGCGCTTGGTGATATGATACAGGCTTACTTTACATCTTGCATGGGGCTATGCCTCAATCTTTCTTCTTCTTCGGCTTGATTTATCACTCATTTTTATTTTGATTCGATCCTTTATTAGCGGCGTACTCAACTCTATATTGGCAAGCCTTCAATAGGAGCGAGTGTTTGGCACAGATGGGTTTGACAAACAGAGCGTTATTTGGGTTCTAGTCATTTATAGGCGACATGATACAGTAGTCGTCTACATGGATCTGCCATTGATATATATCTTTTTCGTGTATATCGGTTTTTCATGGTGCAGCGGCATTGGCACAGCTGCACTGATAAAATGAATGGATAGAATTTACCTTCTCGTTTGATGCAGCTGGCAGCCAACATTATCAACTACAACTTATCTTCGTCTGGGTTACAAGACGGCATGCGCAGCCCTAGATAGCGCAATGCCCCTCTCTCAACCAGCCATTGTTATCAACACAGGGACGCCACACCATTCCGAAAGTCCGTCTCCACCAACTAGTAATCAACAGTCGCACTAGTTGATCCATGCTCCAAGCCCCCAAAGGAAGTTGGAGTAAGTGGGGTTCACGCAACAGAATCCAGATCACCAGTCTCGCAAAGTGAGACTGCTGATATACTTGATCTCTAATGAGGTGCTGCGATTCGTCTTCGGCCGTAGACGAAGACATACTAGGAATGATGGAGATACTGGAAATGTCGCAGAAGAGTCTTCATCGATGTGAACCACAACGACAGACTAACAGAGGTAGCATGACGCTATCTAGTTGGTCTCAGTCCAGCGTAATCTTATAGACGACGCATATACTGACCCCAACTCACTGATCAATAGTCCCGGTCCTCAGATATACACTACCCCTCACTCATGGGCGAATTGATATACCCTCGCGTGCACTTACGAGTCAAATGGACTGATTTCGCCCTGTTCAAAGAAAAGGAAGACATGGGCAGCATAGGCTTCGTTGACATCCAAGAGCTTGCGATATCAAAGTACCATGATGCTCTACGCGAGAGGAGGACGACCTGCACCGAGGTCGTGGTAGCATACCTCGATCGAATATCCCTGTATAATAACCTGCTCAAAGCTCTAATAACCGTCAATAAGAACGCACTCGACATCGCCCGACAAAGAGACCAGGAAACAGAGGCACTCCTACAGCAACATGGGAAAGGCCACGCCTTCCCGCCCCTTCATGGGGTCACCGTCATCCTTAAAGACACCTACAGCACCATTGACATGCCCACAACATCCGGAGTAAAAGCCCTCCACTCCCTACAGACCAAAGCAGACGCCTTTGTCGTCACGAAGCTGCGTCACGCTGGAGCAATTATCCTCGGCAAGGCCAATCTCCACGAACTTTCGCTGGAGGGCGTCACCGTTTCTTCTCTGGGAGGTCAGACGCGGAACCCGTACGACCTCAGTCGGACACCCGGCGGCTCATCAGGTGGGACGGCTGCTGCTCTAGCAGCGAATCTGGCTCTTGTAGGTTGTGGCGGGGACACGATGAATTCGCTACGCTCGCCTGCGTCGGCGTGCTCGATCGTCGGATTTAGGCCGACGAGGGGACAGATTTCGCGGAGTGGCATCATCCCTGTGACTGAGACGCAGGATGTGGTTGGGCCGATGGCACGGACGGTGCAAGATGTCCGTGTATTGTTCGATGTGATGAAGGGCGAAGACGACGGGGATGAGGCTACTATCGATTGTCGACGTGACGCAACGGAGCGCGACTCTGGGACGGGTGACGGCCGCAAAAGGATTKGCATTTTGAGGTCATTCTTCGCGGATGACTGTGACCCTGAAGGCTCAACTGTCAACCAGACAGTGCTGAGCGCGCTTGATAAAGCCAGGGCTGACTTGCAAGTTGAGCTCGTCACGCTCTCTCCTCAGAGCGCTGACTGGGACATTCCAACGCTCGTTTCCACGGCGGACATGCAAGCATACGAGTTCCGCAGTGTCTTCGACGCCTTCCTACAATCGCCATTGATCGCGTTCAAACCCCATGAATCACTAGACTCAATCGTTGCCAGCGGCGAGTACCTCCGTGAAGCCGTGACACCGGCCCTCTACCGCACATTGCAGAAGGACGGTCCATATACAATGCAAAGTACGGAGTATAGGTCTCGCCTGGCGACAATTGCAGCATTAAAGAAGGCTGTAGATGATTGTTTCGAGGAACATCAACTGGATGCCCTCGTCTACCCGCACCAAAGACAGCTGGTCGCTTCAATCGGGTCAATGGTCCAGCCACGGAGGAATGGTATTCTGGCAGCGTTGACAGGTAGGCCAGCGATATGTCTACCTGGTATGTGAATTATACGAAATAGTGCTGTGGACAAGCCGCTAACCATGTCCAGCTGGGTTCAGTCCTCAGACCGAGTCGGCTCCTCTCGGTGTACCAATCGGCTTGGAGCTCATGGGCAAACCATGGCAAGACAAGGACCTGCTAGACATTGCAGAGCAGTTTGAAAGAGTCATCCAGGGTAGACGGCCGCCAGATCTTCCTCTCTAGCCATTCTATCGAGTATATACAAACAAACAACATGGTATCAATACGGAGCCAGCCATAAGCTAACACCTATGAACAAAAACCACACACACCGTCCCATCCTTGTCCACAAACTCCTCCACAGCTTCAAACCCACATTTCCTCAAAACACGCATACTCGGCTCATTGCCCTTGTCCGTAATAGCAACCACCTCTCCGCTCCTCTCCTGCTGCACATCCCCCCAATTAACCCTCTGATAGATCCCCGGCCACGCACCCATCAACCCCCTCACGGCCTCAGTCGCATACCCCTTCCCCCAGAAGTCAGGGTGAAAGATATATCCCAGCTCCCAGCGCTTTCCCCCCAGCTCCTCAACAAGCCCATAACGCAAGCCAATAGAAGCGATAATCCGGCCTGTCAGTCTCTTAGCCTCCGACCACACATAGACATACACCCCAAACAAGACGAGTAACTGAAACTCACCTTTGCCATTTCCATCTCCACCCGCCCCAGAAGCCTCAGACTCAGACTCAATCTCCCGAAGCACATACCCCACATTCCCAGGCTCCCGCTGCTGCGGCCGCAGGTACTCCTCCACCCATTCCCTTGTCGTCGCGAGATCCGCATCAGGGACCTTTTTCAGACTATCTTGTCTCAGTACGACCGTTCTTGAATCAGATGGATGGGACAGATTGATATAAATACCTCCATTTCATGACCTCCTCTAACCCGCGGATAGCGTGGATGCCCGCCGCGTCGGCGTCGACCATCGGGTGGAATTGTAGGCGGGCGGTGCGAAAGGGTGGGGGGAACGAGTCTTCCATTTTTGTGGATTGAACTGTGGTTCAATTATTGTGAGAGGGTGGTTTAGATGTGGTTGGTTAGAGGAAATATATATCTTGTTGCGGGTAGTTATAGTGAGTCATCCGTTAGTTAATTTGTGGTCAGCGTGCAGGTGAGACACTAGACAGATGGGGCTGATTACAGCGACAGTACACTATATGTAAAGAGCTCAAGGATCACGGAGTCATCGATAAGCAGTGGTATATATGTAGATGGTCTATACGCTAAACAATATGATATCACAATCCATGTGCATGCCACTGGACGAGGGCTTCTATATTCAGCTTCCCGCCCCTGCCAAAAGGAAATGAAGAACCAACGCAATGCTGAGAGCGTCAAAATACGATGAGTCCCAATCCACCAATCTACATACCCCGGTTGAATTCAACTTGCCCGTCTTTGCCTCCTCGGCCCCAGAACTCCTCTTCCAGAGTCTGGGCGCTGATTGCCTGCCGCTGAGGGAACGCTCCCAGGGCCAGCGGAAGAGCAAACAGCGACGTGGCCAGGATCAGGCCCAGGTTGATCGGCGTAATCATGCGCGGACGAGCCTTGAGCCAGGCCGTCTTCTCCAGCTTCACAAGGATCAGAGGCGGTACAACCATGATAGGCGTAGCGTTCAGTACTCGACTGATGGCTGTCTCCCCGACCGCAATCGTGGCGGCCTTCTTGCTCTTGCCCAGACTCTGGACCGGCTCACCGGTCTCCTCGCGCTTCTTCTTCTCCTCCTCCGAGAGGACAGGGTAGACGTCAATGCCCTGGCGAATCTCCTCGCCCCGCATCAGGAACACATTGAGCGCACTGGCGCTGGAAACTGCAGCAAAGGGCACCAGACGGCCGAGAATGAGTTTTGTGTTGGGGGAAATGTTCTTCAGCCGAGGGACCAGCGCATTGAGTCCCAGGGCCACCGAGCACGACGCTGATACCGCCATCAAGTAGGACTTGGCCATCTGAGAGACCGACAGGGGAGTCGACTTGTTCGCGTTCGCATTGTTAATGGCGACATTGAGCGACTGGTTGGCAATCTGCCACAGAAGCGTTCCAGTAGTCTATACAGTCAGTGCCATGACCCATCAATGTCCGAATGTCCGATGGTCCATACCTGCAACCCTGGCGTAAGCATGCCCGCCGTCACCACCAGGTTCGAAAGAACATAAGCCGACATGCGGAAGGGAAGGAAAACCGGTTCGCCAGTGTCTTGACAAGCCAAAGTTAGACTCCCCCACACTTAGATTAAGCAATCAAATCCCGCAAACACACCTGGATGCAATGTAGAGTCCACCACCTTCTTCGCCCGCCATAACTCGGGAGTCATAATAGGGACATGATTCTGCTTATAGGACGAGATAAGGCGCTTCGCTTGTTCTAGACCCGACGGGGATACGAACAGCATCCTAGGATATATGTCAGTTAGAACTACAGCAAAGTCGGGACAGGCATTATGGAATGCTCACCGTGGATCGGAGATGTCTGCCGCGTGGCGCACACGACCCCAGTAAGTGTTCAGATCATATTGCGACGCGGGAAGGTCCCGGTTGCCGGGAAGAGACGCAGACATGGATGCAAATCAAAGAAAGACAGTCAATACGAAGAACGACAGACTAGAAAAGGAGAAAAAGAATGAGCCAGGGCAGATGTTGAGCAGAAGGCGCTGGGGAGGAGTCACCGACGGAAAGCGAAAATAATTGATCGGGGAACCACAAACGCTATCAGGGGCGGTGAGCCGATAAGCGGGGGAGTTCAGCCAATCATGGCGCACCAATTGATATGGTTTCCTTAATTTGTCACCGCCTTCCGGACAAATGTGGGACAAACAAATAGTTACAATTATGGATTACTACATCGCGGTACAGTCCAGATGTAAGGGGGTCATGAACATGATTGAACAGAAATGCTAGATACAGTAGTACATAGGTATCACTCAGTGGGGCAGACAAACGCCGACACATGTTGAAGTTAATAAGAAATAAGTTATGACAGTAATCACGACTGTGATGCATTGACATCATGTCAGTACAGACCGGGTATGCAAGATTTGTGAAAATTGATGTCCTCCAGCGAAAACGGGGTATGTCTAGTGGTTCGGATAAAGCGACAGACAAAAGAGACATTAGCAATGGTCCGAAAGGTCAAAACGGTGCGTCTGGAGTGCCTTTTAAAGAACAGAGGAGGCCCTTGTTGACACTAGTCATGACCAGTGGACTTCGTATCCATGATGACATGATAGTAGAGAGAAAATAAATGTCCGATCCAGTTGTAAAAGTGAAAACCGGAGGAATCACCGGAATCGGAAGGATTTATGGGCCAGTGGTGAAGTTGGCGCATGTTCGGTGGCACTGACTGGGCCTCGAGCCCGGTTCTTCCTAGTCGGTGTTTGGGCGCAAAATACGCACACATACACGGACGGCAGATTCGACCGCTCAAGCCCGACACACTTGGTATGGAGCCAATGATTGCACGATTCGCTGTGAAAGGTAAGCAAGGATGACAAAAAAAAAGAAAGCTGATGTTCGCTTACCATTGGATCATGAGATGGCCACCGTTGTCCATGGACTGGCAAACACATCTGGTGCCATTGCTTGGGTTGCTGTAGCGTTCAGTGGTCGGAGTCGCGAGGTCAGGGTCTGTCATGGTGGTTGGGGAAGTGTTAGGTGGCCGAGAATTCAGGTCCGCACCGAAGCGTGGGGGGGACGACCGCAGATGCGCAAAGGAGAGGGAGGACCTATTGGACCGTGACCCATAGCCAATTGTCTGGGACCGTGGAAGTCGTCCTCTCCCCTCAAGAACTTTTCGAAGTGCGTGCTGGGCATCGCCAGAATCATCTTCATTCTCTGGAAGGAGTTCCGCGGGGGTCCCAACGCTAGGGTATGTCAGATCCGAGTTTATCAGCATCGACTGCCGCTTGGGAGTCGTCCTATTCCACTCATCCGCAGCTGTTCGGTACACGGGTCGTCTTGCAGGGCCCCGAGATGCACTAGCCCAGGGTGACGCCCTGCCAGACTGGGATGATGCAGCAGTGGAGGTATAGGAGCCTTTCGAATGGGGCCGGGAGCCGGAGTCACTGTGGGCCACAGAAGGTTCGCCGACGTCCGAAAACGCGAAGGACGAGTTGCGGGTAGGAACAATTGGGTACTCGGAAAGATCGGCAGAGTCAAATTCATTCTCAGTTGCATATCGGTCAATCTCCATTCCATTCACAGGGTCCGTCAGGCCAGTGGATGCCTCAGCAACAGTTTGCATCTCGGTCTTTGCTCGACCATCCTTGCCTATTTTCAAAATGACTGACTGAGAGCGAGTGGGAAGCCCAGACGCAACCGTATTCGCTCTGGTAAGTTGTTGGCGGAGGGGTTTGATGGGGGAGGACCGTCCCTTGGACGGGCTTTTGCGAATGCCACTGCTAGAAGCCATCATCCCAGACGTAGACTGTCCCGATACGGAACGCTGAGGGGGAGCATTTATAGCAGTATGAGTCACACTGCGACTGAGCCCCGGCCGGGATCGACGAGGAGTAAAATCATCATCGTCGTCCTCCTCCTCGTCGAAGCCAGAGAGGGAATGGTTAATGCTCTGCGCACGGCGAAGCTCTTCTCGCTTGAATTCCTCAGTCTGGTGGTGATATGGTTGTCTGGGTGGCTTAGAAAAGAGTCTCTTATCTGGGCTCAGCTGAGGGCCACCGAAACGGCGGGCTGGTGAAGAGAGAAACAAAGCCGGATCTTCTGCCTTGGCTATAGGAAGACGGGGAGAAGTGGAGAAAGGGACAGGGAACAGGGCTGCATCGGAAGGAGCAGCAGAGAGACTATACGTGGGACCATGAACTTCGGGAAGGTCAAGGGTGGCGTCGATAGCTGGTAATTGCGGGATTCGAGCGTCCTGCAACGCTTGACTATGGTTCTGGTTGGTAGAAGCTGGAGCACCCGAGTCGAAGGGGTTGATGCTGTTCCCAGACATACTCAGGCTTCCCCCCTGCTGCTCGATATCATTGTCCCAAAACAACCTCTGCTGAGGAAAGAAAGGCGAGGCGGACGGATCAATCGCAGCCAGGTCGAAAGGGTCTGGAGAGGACTGGAGACCCGCGAAAAACCTGGGCGAAGCACCTAGCAAGCGGCTAGGCGTCTCAAGATGACCACCGTGCGAAGAGTGCTTTCTGTTTGTGTCGATGACATTGTCCAACCCGGTTATTTTCCTCCTTGACGCACTGCTTGGGGGTGGAGTTTGCATTGATGCAGCAGACTTTGCAGAGTCTACGGTCCGAGGACCGTCCTCGCCTGAGCCACCATCAGGTTTTGTGGAACGTATCCTTTTGGCCGTGTCAGTTTCCTGTTCCAAGCCCTGCAAAGCATCCACCCCTCCAGTTCGACCGGGGACCGAGTCTGGCAGTCGTAGGGGGTTTGAAGGGCTGCTCAAGCCGAATCGCTGGGGTGTTCGAAGGAACTCCGGACTTKACGCATAAGGGTCTGATGTGTCCCAGGTAACTCGAGGGTCGAAAAAACTAGATTCGAGCTTGGGGGTCTGAAAAGCGGAATCACCGAAAACTGTAGTTGTAGGAGTCCTCGTCGGGGTCTGAGGTTCACCGTTTGGGTAGCTGAAGCTAAACATGATTGAAGGCTCTGTCAGTATCATCTTCTCACGAAACCACTCTGGGACGGAGTCCATAGCATAGAGAGCCAGGCAGCTTCGCCGAGCAAGTTCGTATTGTATGTATCAAGGAGTGAAGAATGGGGAGAAAGGCAAAGCTCGTAGTAAAGCAGCAACTGACGAGTGGCACGCACAATGCGAATTCGCCCCGCCAGTGCCAGGAGAGGAATCACAGTTTGTGAGGAGATAATGGTATGTGCATAGAAGACTTCGAGAGCCATACCTGTGGACAGGGTTATCCCAACTCATGTCAGCAACCCAGTGATCCCAGCAACCATTCAATTCGAGCTGCCAGGCAACCTAATCAGAGGTCGTCCAGATACCTCGGGCGCTGAGGAATGTCCGAAAA